ACTCTTTCCTGCCTATGCAGGGGGTCGGACTCGATGATCTACTGAGGTCCCTTCCGACCCTAACATCTATGAATCTATGAGTCCCTCACTTTAAGCCTTACAGTCACCTGCTAAGGGATTTTTCATCTGGGTTTGTGCCTTTCCTGGGTTTTTATGTCCTAAGTCCCTGGGACTTAGCCTGGAAGGTTATTTTCACCCCTTTTCTACAAGAGGGAGAAGCCTGCTTTTATTAAAAATCCCCTGATAAATATTAGAAACCTCACGTTGAGCTCTCCTCAGTTATGCTAGAAGGCTTCTTGCATATCAGGAGCCCTTCCATCTTAACTGAAGATCAAAAGGTAAAAATCATTAACCAAGGCACCCTTTCTCCAAAGTGTCCATCAGGTGCAACAAGTTAACTGGGTATAAAATGCGCACACACTCTTAAGTTTTAAAACAGTCACCAAATTATTTTCCTTCTCAACTGTTCAGCTCTCACTTCCTTGTCCCTTTGATGTCACTATTTTTCTAGGTCTGCAGTCACCAGGCCTAAATTCCTACCACAAAATCAGAATTCTTCCCCTGCCAACTCTGTTAGGCATTTTTATCTGTTACAAAGCAGCCAATAGGACAAATATCTAATCTGATATGCTGTAACCATTACAGATCAGCTTTAGAGGCCACCGACTCCTGCAAAAGATGAGGGAGACTTTGGGCACTGTGGCCCTGGGAAGGCAGCACGAGTATAAGTGTTGACCCTAATGCCAAAGCAGGAGGAGGAGACTGGACTGCCAAATGCTCTGGAAAGAGCTCCTCTTACCATGTGGGGCTTGGCCTCCAGGTCCATGAAGTCTGACTCTTTGACTCCTGCCATCATCTGGTAGTACTCCAGGTTCTGCTTCATCTCCATGTGGTTGGGGTTCCCCACAAAGAAGGTGTGTGCAGCAGACACAGCCTTATCGATCTTGTGAATCTGAGCAAACAGACATGGAAAAGTGAGACGAAAGCTGGGAATCACTAGCCATATACAGCCAGTTTACTCGGCTTCCTGAGAGCGCATTGCAGCACAGTGCAGAGGGACGCCAAGATCTCAGACCCATCTCTAGCCTAAGTAGCCTAACCAAGCCTAGGGAGAGTCCTCTCCTACCATATACACCTGGCTTCAGGCACCTTCCCCAGCCCCAAGACACTGCACTAATGACTGTCATAAAAGTCCATTTGGACTAGAGACCCAGCCCCTGCCTTCTGACCAGGCCTAGTCTCCTGGAGCTAGACTGACTGTCATAGCCTTATTTTCTCTTGTGCTACGAAGCCCAGGAAAGGAATGGGGCATTAACTAATCCAGGCTGTGTGAATGCTGGCTGCCTGTCTTGGAGATGCAGAACAGAGCTGCGGCTAAGATGTACAGGACCCCAATCACTCCCGAGTTTCTGCAGGCTTTGCCTCCACTTCCTTAAGTTGCAGTGAAAGATGGTTTTGTGCTTTGGGCACAGGGACTCCCCCACACATGCTCTGCTGCCCTACCCTCCTCTAGTCTCCGAGAAACTGGTAGGCAAAAGGTGGGGTCAGTCCTTCTTCCCCTCCTTGCTGCATTTTTGGGAGAGACTAAAATGACAGCATGCTACCAAGTAGCATAACAGGGCTCTGAAATTGGTTAGGACCTCCAGGCACTAGGGTCATTCAAATTAGAGACCCCCCACAGCAGCACATATTGCCTTCCCCCCTCCACCTGGTCTAGAAAGTGGTAGGGGAAGGAAGAAAAAAGACACCACCACACGAGGGAGATGGTGGTCACTTGATGCGTCTTTGGGAGGCATTCATATCTGAGGATCCAGTATGAAAACCTGCACGGTGCCATAGCAGGCCCCAGTCACTTGGGTTGTATATCAAACTGGACGTGACAAAGCCTGACAGGCCCTGAAGAGACTAATTCTGCCCCAGCATCGACTGGACTAGCTGATTTGTTAGATCTATTTTATTTCTACTTAGTGTGATTCTGCAGACGGTGCTTAAAACTGGCAGTCTAGTTTTTATAACAATTTGAACATCGGTATGGACTAGCCATTGGCAACCGTTTTGCAGTGGTGGCCCCGCATGGGTCCGAGGCACGCTGGTGCTGCGCCCTGGCCACCACCACTTCTTGCAGGCCCAGGACAGGCAAAGCCTCCCCTCCCTGGCTGCAGCGCAGCGCAGGAAAGCCCTGGACCACCGCGGCCTCCTGCGGCCTGGCTGGATGCCACCAAAGCCCCCCCCAGAAACTCTCCCCCTGCCCCCGAGGTCTGGAAACGGCCCGCAGGCTGCTGACCCCCGATCTAGACGTCCACAGAGCGGGACCACTGGGCAGGGGGCTGCCAGGTCCCTTCCAGCCCAAATGTGCATGAAACCTATTAAGTAGTTTCAGGGTCTACCCAGAGGTTCCCTATGAAACCTGGTAATTTTGAAATCCAGACTCATCTCTAAGCACCTCTCTCCCTCCACGCAGCTGTGCGCGAGGCAAGCGTCCATGGAGAGGAGTGAAAGTCCCCGTGCACAAAGAGCTGCCGAACGCTCGCGGTGACGGAGCAGACACCTCTCCCTCTCATCGCCCCAGGGCACAGATTTCGTCTTCCTTCTGCTAACACCAGCTATTCCAACAAGAGCATCGGCCTCTCTCCAACCAGCCCGACCCCATTTTCTTCAAGCTTTCTCTGGGGCGCGCGAGACCGGCTCTAAAGCACTCCCGGACCAGGTCCGGCGTCAGGGTGGCGGGTTCGGTCGGTGCGCTGCATCACTGCCACCAGGTACCGGTGCAGGGGGAGCGGGGCACCGCTCCGTGCGACTCGCAGGCGGGACAGGGGGGCCATGCACCCACAGAGCAGAGACCACGTCGTGCCGGGGCGGTGGGCGCAACGCCCAGCTCGCGACGTGGCGTCGCGGCTTCTGGACCGGAGGAGGGAGGGAGGGAGGGAGGAGGGGGGCGGCGCGCGGCAGGAAAAGGAGGGGAGAGGTGTGG